GGTTCCCCTTTGCAGCCCACCAGCGCCGACGGCGGGGAAGAGCGGGTAATGGGCGGCTGCAGGAAGCTCGGCGCAGCTAGTGGCGGAAGCGGGAATATACGCCAAGCAGGATTAGTTTTTTGAGATTTGCTCGGGATGCTGCGCGGAGCGAGGTGGCAAGCTAACCAGTGCGATTTGCTCTCAGTAGCCCTGGAGCACGGTGACGAGAGGGCGAGGCAAGAGGGAAATGCTACGCATGATTCCATTTTGTAAACAAAATGGTTTATGGCAGTCCCAATTTGCAATCTTCGGCTCTTCCCCTTGGCCCTTTCCTCTCTCGGTTGGAGTCTGTGCTGGGTTCGCGAAACCCGTTTTCCCCCATCATCCAATCACACACTTCCCTTCTCCATCCTCTCCCCCACTTGTTCACTGTTCCCAATTTGTACAGGGTAACCACTCAGACCCCTTCCAAAATTGTTAACAAAAAGGCTCGCGCCTTGTAACTTGGGACCTGGGCTTTAAGCAGCTTGAAATTGCGTTGTATAATGCGGTCCAATCCAGTGTTCCACAGTTTCAAATATACATACCGTAATCTCCTGGCATGATTGCCCCCCCGAAAAAGGGACCCTGTGTTAAATTATATATGTTATATAATTGTAGGCTTGGTAGGCGTTACTGAAACTTACTGTAGAGGGTACAACACCCCTCCTTGTATCCCTCTCTCTTCTATTCTCTCTCTCTTTTCTCTCGTAACTTTCTCCTAGCTAAACCCTCACGCCATTTCATGGCTTCCTAGCTACCTAGCTCTTCTAACATGCTATCAGAGCAGGTCGCCCTTCCCGGGCCTGCTCCCCACGCTTCCGCCACGTACTCATTCGTCGTTCGTCCCTGCCGGGTCGCCGTCGCGCCCATGCCGAGCAGTCATTGCTGCGTCGTGGTGCTGCCGTCGTAGCCCCGACGCATGGCGTCGACGCCACACTTCTGCGACGGCGTCATGCTGCCGTCGCAGCGTCGACGTCCCGCCGTGGCATCGACGCCGCGCTGTGGCGGCGTCGTAATGCTGCGGTGGCGGCGTCGTCGGGCGGCAGCCGGCCGTGCAACGTCTGTGGCGCCGCCAGACCTGCCACCCGCACGCCAGCCACGGGTGTGAGGCTGGACCACGCCACACCCCCCTTCCCCTGCGTCCTCTTCCTCGCCGCAGACGACGGCTGACTCCCGCTGGCCGTCCCACCGTCGCGGGGCCTGGCCACGCCACCGAGAGGTGTGGGCGCCGCCGCCGCCGCCGCCGCTGCCGCCGCTGTCGCCGCTTGCGTTGGGGCCACGCAGCCGCACACCGCCGCTGCCGCCACTTTCGACACTGCCGCCGCTACCGCCGTCGCCGCCGCAGCCCCTGCGGTCGACGTCGTCGCCTCACGCGCCGAGGGGTCGACCGAGCTGGTGTAGCTGTCGCTGTGGCTGAGTATGGGGGTGCTAGAATTAGGGGGTGGGTGTGGCTTAGTGTCTTGTGTGTGTGGGTTCTTCTATTACCAAGCCTAGGGGGTGTGTTAAATTATATATGTTATATAATTGTAGGCTTGGTAGGCATTACTGAAACTTACTGTAGAGGGTATAACACCCCTCCTTGTATCCCTCTCTCTTCTATTCTCTCTCTCTTTTCTCTCGTAACTTTCTCCTAGCTAAACCCTCATGCCATTTCATGGCTTCCTAGCTACCTAGCTCTTCTAACACCCTGGGTCTTTTTTCCGGACCATGGGTCTTAATATCGTAAAGGGATTGTGAGGACTCGCTGTTTGGGGTAAATCATCTGAGGACCCCCGATTTCCCTCAACAGTGTATCTGTACTCGTGTTTAGTTCCGGATTTTGGTCACGTGTTTGAAGCGCTCCCGTGCTTGTGCACCTAGCTGTCAGAAATGCCTTCGCGCCGCGTCAGAACAAGGGGTTCCTGCAGTCGGCCTACAAAAAATTGACCACAGCAAGAATTCGACTCGCGAGACTACGACAGGTTGAGGACGAGAATCCGCTAGCGCTAAAGTGTACATACCAGAAACAATCTCATAAGTAGAAAATAAATTTCTATGGGTCTTAAAAATGACCTCCCTTTAATATGTCCACCCAAACGAATTTCGGTGAATTTTCCAAAAGACCTAGGGTGATCATGCCGAGAGATTACGCTAAGCCAATGATTTGTTCAGGAAGAAAGGAAGAAAGGAAGAAAGGAAGGAAGAAAAAAAAAGCAAAATGCTGCAAAAATACAGCAAAATTGGTACAGCCCAACATTGCTACTGTGTAATATTAGTTTGGACCACTCTTGGTCACTAGGGGCACTGTCGCTGCCCCTAGCGTTATGCCCAAAAACCATATGGGGGCCGCCGCATGGAAAAAGCATGGCCCAAACAAGGTAGGGGACCGGAGTCCCCACAATAATAGGTGGGAGCCATGTTCGAAGCCACTGGCCGGGAGATTCAGTTTCCCGGATGAGTGGCCGCGACAGATGGTTCCCACGGCAGAAATCTCAGAGTTAGAACTGAGAAGTAGAATGAGAGTATACAGGGGTATATAGCTAGTGGGTTGTACTCTCTATGGAATGACCCTATGTAGTCTACTAAACATACACAAATATGTTTGACACACCCCCTAGACTAGATAGGGGCAAAGCCTGGTGACAGACAAGCAGCTCTAGGTGGCACTACTAGTCCAACCTCTGAGGCAGGGGTCGAAAGACCAGTCAAAAGAGTACAAACAAGGCAAGAACAAGACCAGGGCGGCACTACTAGTCCAGCCACTGGGAGAAAGCCACAAGGCCAGTCAGGATAATATATAAAGAGTTATACACAATCAAGGTCCTAGCAAATGACGTGCTATAGGAACGAGACCAAGCTGTACACAGTGCCGCTGATGCTCTTTAGACGCAAGTGCCTTCATAAAGATATCAGCTATGTTGGCACCAGAGGCCAAGTGTACTACGCGGGCCAGGCAATGCTGCTGTATCTTGCGCAGGAGGAAGTACCGCAGCTGGATATGCTTGCTCAGCCCTCAAGTCACGGCTCCTGTCACAGGAGGATCATGGCCCTATTGTCAGCGTACAGGACCGGGGCAGAGCTGGGCCGCTCACCTAAGTCGGTGAGCAAGAAGGTCAGCTAGCGGAGCTCCTGTGCTGCCATGGCACCGTCATAGATCTCAGCCTCACAGATAGACTGGACAACAGATGAGGAGCGCGTGGACCTCTACGAGATGGCACCCGAACCAAGGCTATAGTAGTAGCCCTGTGAGGACTCGAGTGTCTCAGCCTCGTCTGCCCATGAAGCATCTGTGTGCCCAGTAAGGACCACTGGCCTGCGTCCTCCCAGCACGAGCCCCATGTCCAATGTACTTGCTAGATAACGCAAAACCCTCTTAGCATCCGACCAGTCCTGTGGCCGTTGTCTGCCTGACGCCACAAAGCGAGCCAGGATGCTGAGATGGTATGCAAGATCTGGACGAGTGCAAGTCATCAGGTACATAAGGCAACCCACCAGCTCTCCGTAAGGACCACTGGGCTCTACGGACTCCTCAGGAACTGGAGCACAGAGCCTGTAGTCTACTGGCAGAGGTGTGGGCTGAGCAGAGGAGAAGTGAAGACTGAACCTCTGAAGGACCTGGCGCACCAAGTGTGACTGTGTAAGATTGATGGTGCACGCTGCTCTATCCCTAGAGATAAGCACGCCAAGGTAGCGGTGCAGCTCTCCTAGGTCAGTGCACGTGTGTCTCCTCAGCAGCTCAGTCTTCACGGAGGCTAGGGCGTCTCTGTCTGCAGTAGTGACGACCAGGTCATCTACGTAGACAAGGATATAGAACGGGGTCTGGCCAGCACGAACGAAGAGCGAGGGGTCTGCAGACAACAGGAAGAACTGCAGGTCAGCAAGTGTAGCACGCAGCGTGTCGTGGCACTTACAGGGCTCCTGGCGCAGGCCGTAGACGGGGTGCCGGAGGAGCCATTCGGTACCAGGGGGAAAGGTACCGGAGAAGCCCTGGGGGTGGCGCAGGTAGACCTATTTGTGTAGAATGCCCTGGAGGAAAGTTGTGGAGAATTCGAGCGAGTGTAGCTCATAGTCATGCTGTGCTGCTACGTGTAACAGTGCCCGAAGAGTAGTCATCTTCGGGGTCGGAGCGAAGGTCTGAAAGAAATCAACCCCCTCATGCTGACTAAAGCCACGAGCAACGTAGCGCGCCTTGAAGACAGGCGTCTCTCCAGGAGGGCGCTTCACCTTGAAGAGCCATCGGCCATCGACTACGTTCACACCGGCCATCGACTGCTCCATAACAGCTATCCACTGAGAGGCCCAGGAAAACGAGGTGGCCTCAGCGTAGGTGCGAGTGGTCGGGATGTCAAGGGCATCTTGGTCACCCTCAAGAACTAGCAGCATGGAACAGAGATGGGGAGCGGCCTCTGACAGGAATGCAAGCTCGTACTGTCTGTCCATACTGCTACCTCCACTGCTCCCTCCACTACTCCCCCCACTGCTCCCGACACTGCTCCTGTCACTCCTCCCTCCACTGCTCCCGCCACTGCTCCTTCCACTGATCCCTCTACTGCTCCCTCCACTGCTCCCGCCACTGCTCCCTACACTGCTCCCTCCACTGATCCCTCCACTGCTCCCTACACTGCTCCCACCACTGCTCCCGCCACTGCTCCTGCCACTGCTCCCACCACTCCTCCCTCCACTACTCCCGCCACTGCTCCCTCCACTGATCCCTCCACTGCTCCCTCCACTGCTCCTGCCACTGCTCTCTCCAATGCTCCCGCCACTGCTCTCGTCAGTGCTCCCTCCCCTGCTCCCTCAACTACTCCCTCCACTGTTCCCTCCACTGCTCCCTCCACTGCTCCCTTCAATGCTCCTGCCACTGCTCCCGCCACTGCTCCCTCCATTTCTCCCGCCACTGCTCCCTCCATTTCTCCCTCCACTGCTCACTCCACTGCTCTCGCCACTGCTCCTGCCACTGCTCCCTCCACTGGTCCCTCCACTGCTCCTTCCACTGCTCCCTCCACTGCTCCCGCCTTTTCTCCCTCAACTGCTTCCGCCACTGCTCCCTCCACTGCTTCCGCCACTACTCCCTCCACTACTCCCTCCACTGATCCCTACACTGCTCCCTACACTGCTCCCTCCACTGCTCCCGCCACTGCTTCTGCCACTGCTCCAGCCACTCCTCCCTCCACTGCTCCCACCACTGCTCCCTCCACTGCTCCCTCCACCACTCCCTCCACTGCTCCCTCCACCGCTTCCTCCACTGCTCCCTCCACTGCTCCAGCCACTTCTCCCGCCACTGCTCCCACCAATGCTCCCTCCCCGGCTCCCTCCACTGCTCCCTCCACTGCTCCCGCAACTGCTCCCGCAACTGCTCCCGCCACTGCTCCCTCCACTGATCTCTCCACTGCTCCCGCCACTGCTCCCGCCACTGCTCCCGCCACTGCTCCCTCCACTGCTCCCTCTGCTGCTCCCTCCACTGCTCCCTCCACTGCTCCCTCCACTGCTCCCGCCACTGTTCCCTCCACTGCTCCCTCCACTGCTCCCTCCACTGCTCCCTCCACTGCTCCCTCCACTGCTCCCGCCAGTGATCCCGCCACTGGTCCTGCCACTGCTCCCTCCACTGGTCCCTCCACTGCTCCTTCCACTGCTCCCTCCACTGCTCCCTGCACTGCTCCCGCCACTGCTCCCTCCACTGCTTCCGCCACTGCTCCCTCCACTGCTTCCGCCACTGCTCCCTCCCCTGCTCTCTCCACTGATCCCTCCACTGCTCCCTACACTGCTCCCTCCACTGCTCCCGCCACTGCTCCCTCCACTTCTCCCGCCACTGCTCCCTCCACTGCTCCCGCCACTGCTCCCTCCACTGATCTCTTCACTGCTCCCTCCACTGCTCCCACCACTGCTCCCTCCACTGCTCCCTCTACCGCTCCCTCCACTGCTCCCCCCACCGCTTCCTCTACTGCTCCCTCCACCGCTCCCGCCACTTCTCCCGCCACTGCTCCCACCAATGCTCCTCCCCTGCTCCCTCCACTGCTCCCTCCACTGTTCCCTCCACTGCTCCCCCCACTGCTCCCTCCACTGCTCCCTCCACTGCTCCCGCCACTGCTCCCTCCTCTGCTCCCTCCACTGCTCCGTCCACTTCTCCCGCCACTGCTACCGGCACTGCTCCCGCCACTGCTCCTGCCACTGGTCTCGCCACTGCTCCCGCCACTGCTCCCTCTTCTGCTCCCGCCACTGCTCCCGCCACTGCTCCCTCCACTGCTCCCTCCACTTCTCCCTCCACTGCTCCCTCCACTGCTCCAGCCACTTCTCCCTCCACTGCTCCCTCCACTGCTCCCTCCACTGCTCCCGCCACTGCTCCCTCCACTGCTCCCGCCACTGCTCCCTCCCCTGCTCCCGCCACTGCTCCCTCCACTGCTCCCTCCACTGCTCCCTCCACTGCTCCCGCCACTGCTCCCTCCACTGCTCCCTCCACTGCTCCCGCCACTGCTCCCTCCACTGCTCCTGCCACTGCTCCCTCCACTGCTCTCTCCACTGCTCCCGCCACTGCTCCCTCCACTGCTCCCTCAACTGCTCCCTCCACTGCTCCCGCCACTGTTCCCGCCACTGCTTCCTCCACTGCTCCCTCAACTGCTCCCTCCACTCCTCCCTCCACTGCTCCCTCCACTGCTCCCTCCATTGCTCCCGCCACTGCTCCTTCCACTGCTCCCTCTGCTGCTCCCTCCACTGTTCCCTCCACTGCTCCCGCCACTGCTCCTGCCACTGCTCCCGCCACAGCTCCCTCCACTGCTCCCGCCACTGCTCCCTCCACTGCTCCCTCCACAGCTCCCTCCACTGCTCCCTCCACAGCTCCCGCCACTGCTCCCTCCACTGCTCCCTCCACTGCTCCCTCCACTGCTCCCGCCACTGCTCCCTCCCCTGCTTCCGCCAATGCTCCCTCCACTGCTCCCTGCATTGCTCCCTCCACTGCTCCCTCCACTGCTCCCTCCACTGATCCCTCCACAGCTCCCTCCACTGCTCCCTCCACTGCTCCAGCCACTGCTCCCTCCAGTGCTCCCTCCACTGCTCCCGCCACTGCTCCCTCCACTGCTCCCTCCACTGCTCCCTCCACTGCTCCCGCCACTGCTCCCTCCACTGCTCCCGCCACTGCTCCCTCCACTGCTCCCGCCACTGCTCCCTCCACTGCTCCCGCCACTCCTCCCTCCCCTGATCCCGCCACTGCTCCCTTCACTGCTCCCTCCACTGATCCCTCCACTGCTCCCGCCACTGCTCCCTTCACTGCTCCCTCCACTGATTCCTCCACTGCTCCCGCCACTGCTCCCTCCACTGCTCCCTCCACAGCTCCCGCTTCTGCTCCAGCCACTGCTCCCGCCACTGCTCCCCGCACTGCTCCCGCTACTGCTCCCTCCACTACTCCCTCCACTGCTCCCTCCACTGCTCCCTCCACTGCTCCCTCCACTGCTCCCTCCACTGCTCCCTCCACTGCTCCCTCCACTACTCCCTCCACTGCTCCCGCCACTGCTCCCTCCACTGCTCCAGCCACTGCTCCCTCCAGTGCTCCCTCCACTGCTCCCGCCACTGCTCCCTCCTCTGCTCCCTCCACTGCTCCCTCCACTGCTCCCGCCACTGCTCCCTCCACTGCTCCCGCCACTGCTCCCTCCCCTGCTCCCGCCACTGCTCCCTCCACTGCTCCCTCCACTGCTCCCTCCACTGCTCCCGCCACTGCTCCCTCCACTGCTCCCTCCACTGCTCCCGCCACTGCTCCCTCCACTGCTCCTGCCACTGCTCCCTCCACTGCTCTCTCCACTGCTCCCGCCACTGCTCCCTCCACTGCTCCCTCCACTGCTCCCTCCACTGCTCCCGCCATTGTTCTCTCCACTGCTCCCGCCACTGCTCCCTCCCGTGCTCCCGCCACAGCTCCCTCCACGCTCCCTCCACTGCTCCCTCCACTGCTCCCGCCACAGCTCCCTCCACTGCTCCCTCCACTGCTCCCTCCACTGCTCCCTCCACTGCTCCCGCCACTGCTCCCTTCACTGCTCCCTCCACTGCTCCCTCCACTGCTCCTGCCACTGCTCCCGCCACTGCTCCTGCCACTGCTCCCTCCAGTGGTAACTTCACTGCTCCCTCTACTGCTCTCTCCACTGCTCCCTCCACAGCTCCCGCCACTGCTCCCGCCACTGCTCCCGCCACTGCGCCCGCCACTGCTCCCTCCACTGCCCCTCCACTGCTCCTGCCACTGCTCCCTCCACTGCTCCCTCCACTGCTTCCACCATTGCTCCCTCCACTGCTCCTTCCACTGCCTTCTCCATTGCTCCCGCCACTGCTCCCGCCACTGCTCCCGCCACTGCTCCCGCCACGGCTCCTGCCACTGCTCCCGCCACTGCTCCCGCCACTGCTCGCGCCACTGCTCCCGCCACTGCTCCCTCCACTGCTCACTCCACGTGAGAGTCTAGTAGAACTAGACCAAGCTGCAAGCCTTGCCGCTGATGATCTTTAGGCCCAAGGGCCTTAGTAAATATATCAGGTGTGGTGGCATCGGAGGCCAAGTGTACTACGCGGGCGTGGCGACACTGCTGTAGCTCACGCAGAAGGAAGTACTGTAGCTGGATGTGCTTCGTTCTGCCCTCAAGTCGTGGCTCCTGACATAGGAGGATCATGGCCCTGTTGTCAGCGTACAGAACCGGGGCAGATCTAGGTTGGTCACCTAAGTCGGCGAGCAAGAAGGTCAGCCAGCGGAGCTCCTGTGCCGCTATGGCACCGGCGTAGATCTCAGCCTCACAGCTAGACTGGGCAATAGACGAGGAGCGAGTGGACCTCCACGAGATGGCACCTGAACCAAGGCTAAAGCAGTAGCCCTGGGAGGACCTGAGGTTCTCAGCACCGTCTGCTAAAGAAACATCTGTGTGCCCAGTGAGGACTACTGGCCTACGTCCTCCCATCACTAGCCCCATGCCCGATGTACTCGCTAGATAACGCAAAACCCTCTTAGCGGCCGACCAGTGTTGTGGTCGGTGTCTGGCTGTGGCCACAAAGCGAGCCAGGATGCTGAGAGGGTATGCGAGATCAGGACGACTGCAAGTCATCAGGTACATGAGGCAACCTACCAGCTCTGCGTAAGGACCACTAGGCTCTGCTGATTCCTCAGGAACTGGAGCTGAGAGCCTATGGTCTACTGGCAGAGGTGTGGGCTGTGCGGAGGAGAACTGAAGACCGAACCTCTGAAGGACCTGGCGCACCAAGTGTGACTGTGTGAGAGTGATGGTGCGCGCTGCTTTGTCCGTGAAGATCTGCACGCCAAGGTAGCGGCGCAGCTCTTCTAGGTCAGTGCACGTGTGTCTCCTCAGCAGCTCGGCCTTCACGGAGGCCAGTGCGTCTCTGTATGCAGTAGCGAAGACCACGTCTTCTACGTAGACAAGGATGTAGAACGGAGTCTGGCCAGCACGAACGAAGAGCGAAGGGTCTGCAGAGGTCGGAAAGAACTACAAGTCAGCTAGCGTAGCACGCAGCATGTCGTGCCACTCACGGGGCACTTGCCGCAGGCCGTAGACCGGGCGCCGGAGGAGCCTCTGGGTCCCAGGAGGGATGGTCCGGTGAAGCCCTGCGGTCAGCGCAGGTAGACCTGCTCGTGTAGGCTGCCTTGAAGAAAAGAAGTGGAGAAGTCTAGGGAGTGGGGCTCATAGTCACGCTGTGCAGCTACGTGTAGCAGCGCCCGAAGAGTAGTCATCTTCGGGGTCGGGGCGAAGGTCTGAAAGAAGTCCACCCCCTCTCGCTGACCGAAGCCTCTAGCAACGTAGCGCGCCTTGAGCACAGGCTGCTCTCCAGGGAGGCGCTTCATCTTGAAGAGCCATCGGCCGTCGACGTAGGTGTCGGTGGATCTCCAAGATGCCATCTCCTACTCCATGGCAGCTATTCACTGAGAGGCCCAGGGTCCCGAGGTCGCCTCAGCGTAAGTGCGAGGGGTCGGGATGTCAAAGGCGTCTGGGTCACCCTCAAGGACTAGCAGCATGGAGCAGAGTTGGGGAGCAGCCTCGGAAAGGAAAGCAAGCTCGTACTGCTTGTCCTCTAGGACGTTACTCCCAAGGGCAAAAGCATCCTCGACAGATGGAGGACAGACAGGGTTAGAGACCAGAGCGGTGGCGTAGTCAAGACGACGGGTAGAGGCGAAGTCAGCGATAGCATCGACAAGAGCGTCAAGACTGGAGACAGGAATAGACGGGTCGGTAACGAGGGAGGTAAGGACCCGAGGAACAAGAGGACGAGCAACACGAAGGTAGTCAGACAGAGGGGGAGGTGCGACAGCGAGCAGCAACGGAGGAGGGGAAGGCAGGAGGGGAGGATGAGACGCGTGGGAGCGAAGCAACATAGGGTGAGAACGTGGAACAGGAGAGAGAGGACGAGCCAGAGAGGGACGGCGAGACAAGACGTGAGACAGTGGAGGAGTAACTGGAGGGGAAGGAGGTGGGAAATGGGCCAGGGACGAGTCCGGCGGAGGAAACACAGGACCGTGGACAGGAAGGGGAGGAGGCAGCAGGAGAGGCGCAGGTGAGTGGTCGGGGGAGGGAAGGCCGAGCAGGTGAAGGGCGGACACCAGCGGCGACTGCTGCTGCTGCTGCTCGACGCTGACACCTGGACCACCTGCTGCACCGCGAAAACCTCCGGAACACTCCACTCTAGCACCCCCAGAGCAAGAACCCTCTCCAGCACACCGGTGTCACCCCCGAGCTTGCCGGGACAAGCCACGAAAGGAACCCCAGGACTAGCACCCTCCTCAACGCCAGCACCCCCAGAGTCCACGAACGGCTGCTACTACTGCGACGGCGGTGGCTGCTGCTGCGACGGCGGCGGCTGTGGCAGCGGCGACTGGGACAACAGAGGAGGAGACACCGGGGGAGTGACAGGCGGCACGAACTGCGCCGCAGGGCCACCGGAGTCAGCCGACTCCTCGATCGGGACAACTGACGGGAGGGGAGTGACGTGAGACACACCAGACAGAGCTGGACGAGGAGGAAGGTGAGCAGGGGCTACCGGGGGAGTGGGGACCAGAAACAGAGGAGGGGAAACTGAGGGACCTCGGTGGGCAAGGCGGTGGTAGAAGGAGAGACTCGTCGAAAGTGGCATCACGGGAGTGAAAGAAGCGGTGAGACGGCGGGTGGTAAAAGCGCCAGTCAGACGAGTCCAGGGGGAAACCGAGGAAGACACAGGGGACAGTGTGGGCAGTGAGCTTGTCCGTGCCAGAGGCATGAACATGAGCGAGGCAACCCCAGACGTGGAACGTAGACGCATCACCAGAGAACCCGGTCCAAAGAAGGGTCGGCGAAACATTCGGCCGCTGGGAGCGCGGCCAGAGGTTAAGCTGGTGAGCAGCGTAGCGAACAGCGAACGGCCACAGAAAATGGGGTGCACTGGCATGAATCATAGAGGTACGAGCCACCTCCATGACCAAACCGATGCGTCGCTCAGCAACCCCATTCTGCTGCGGGGATTCCGGTCGGGTGTATGCCTGGGTGATGCCCTCCGCACGACAAAACTGTCCAAGCCAACCAGAGGCGAACTCGCCACCACAGTCGGAGTGGAGACACAGCACAAGGAGACCGCGGTGGAGGCGCGCAGCTACGACCCACAGGATAAGAACATCGGGCACGTCGGCCTTCCGCTCCAAGGGAAACACTGTGGTGTAGTGCGTGTAGTCGTCAATGAGCACTAGAAATTAGCGCTTGCGACGCGGTGCAAGGATGGGGGCTGGGGCCCAGACGTCCAGGTGCAGGGTCTGAAGTGGTGCGGTGGCGGGACGAAGTGAGGAGGAGTGAGGAGCACGGCACAGCCGGCCCTCGATACAGGGCGTGCACGGTGGCGCAGGCAAGGGAGGAAGGGTAGGAAGCGACACAGGGAGACCTAGGACGAGACCGTGCTGAGACATGTGACGCAGACGCGGGAGTGTGGGGTGACCTAGACGGTGGTGCCACAGAAGCGACGGGTGGGTGAGCGACCGACACGAGCAAGCCGCAACGACCTGGGTAGACGTAGGGCCCGGGGAGGACGTGCCAACCGGGGGGGGGGAAGCAGTGTCCAGCTTAAAGAGGCTAGACACCGGGTCCCGGGGGAATGTCGCAAGGGGGGAACCTGAGGCGGCCTCGGTACAGACAACCTACCGCTCGTGACCAAGAAACGTAGTGGTGACGCTGAGGTTCTGAAGACTGCCGACACCAACTAAGTTCCTGGAGAACGAGGGCATGTGCAGGCCTGTAAGGGAACCCGAGGGGACCGCTGGACAGCGAATGATAGTGTAGCTGCAAGTAACGACAGGACCAGAAGAGGGGTCAGCTAGTGCGACAGCAGCAGGCGTGGCAAGCGGAGTGAGTGTGGCGTGGTCGCGGAAGAAGCAGATAGATGCACCGGAGTCAAGTGTGAAGGACAGCAAAGTAGTAGCGGCAGACGAAGGAGGAGCGAGTGTGGAGCCTAGACTATACAAAGCAAACGATCCTACGCTTGACGCAGCAGGGGTGTCTGTACTACACAGGGTAATAAGATCCGGACACACTAGAAGCGTCAACTTACAAAGAATGCAAGGCAGAACTAATCGGATCCATGTCTAAGTAAAAAACGTCGGCATACGTGCACTGGGAGGGAGCACAACCCTGAAAGATAGGGACTGCTGCAACACCGCTCTACTGAGCGATAGTGCGCTGGCGAGTCTCTATCTCGGAAAGGGCGGCGACAAAAGCGATCAGGGTGATGTCACCAGGGTGCTGGCTAAGGAAGTGGTCGCGGGCAGTGGCTAAGCGGTCAGGCAGGTGCATGGCAATAAGGTACAGGGTAGTGCAGAACGGCGGGGGGAAGACAGTGAGCTGGGCAGTAGTTCTAGCAATGCGGTAGCTAGTCTCTAGTGCACGGAGGTGAGTGGCGAGATCAGCGACAGTGGGGAAAGCAGAGAGATCGGGGAAGAGCATGGGGAGGATCAAGCGTCCAGCTGAGGCGGAGGCAGGCGTGGAGTAGCGTGCAACTATTGCATTTAAGATTTCTTTGGCGTTCGCGACAGCAGCGAAACGCGGGCGCTCAGAAAGGGGAAGTGCATGACTAATGGCAAGCTGCGCTACAGCATCGCGAGAATCCTAGACAGCGGGAGCGAGCGCAGCAGCAGCAAAGGCCTCACTCTCAGCAGTGGTGGGGTCAACAGGGAAGGGATTAGGCGTGGAGGGGCGGGAAAGCAAGCCATCAACATGCATAGCCAGGGAGTGCCCATCCTGGCGCTGACCTGTCAGGTGCCGGCGAAGATCGACAAGCCAGGCGGCGAAGTCAATCGCGTGCCCCTCCGCGTCCAGACGTAGCATGGCATCCGTCATCGCGCAACTGCAGCGGCACCGGGACACAGCGGCAAAGCGGCACAGGGACACAACGGCACAGCGGCACAGGGACACAGCGGCACAGCGGCATGGTGATATGGCGACGTGGCGGCATAAATCCTCGGAACGGGGACCGGGCGGAAGGCCGCGGAGGTGCGGGAAGGGACCGGCACGTAGAGAGGAGCCGGCAAGGCGCGTGGGGCCGGCGGCGCGAGAAGGGGGGGGGGGGGCTAAGCTCGAGGGGCCGGCTAGGCACGAGGGGCCGGCTGGGCGCGAGGGGCTGGTTGGGCGAGAGGGGCCGGCTGAGCGCGAGGGGTCGGCTAGGCGCGAGGGGCCGGCGACGGCGCGAGGGGCCGGGTAGGGCGCGAGGGGCCAACTAGGGCGCGAGGGGCCGGCTACGGCGCGAGGGGCGGGGGGGGGGGCGGCTAGGGGGCAAGGGGCCAGCTAGGCGTGAAGGGGCCGACTAGGCGTGAGGGGCCGGCGACGGCGCGAGGGGCCGGCTATGGTGTGAGGGGCCGGCTAGGGCGTGAGGGGCCGGCTACGGCGCGAGGGGCCGGCTAGGCGCGAGGGGCCAGCGACGGCGCGAGGGGCTGGCTTTGGCGCGAGGAGCCGGCTAAGGCGCGAGGGAGGGCCGGCTAGGCGCAAGGGGGTGGGGGGGGGGCGGCTACGGCGCGAGGGGCCGACTAGGCGTGAAGGGGCCGACTAAGTGTGAGGGGCGACGGCGCGTGGGGCCAGCGACAGCGCGAGGGGCTGGTGACGGCGCGAGGAGCCGGCTAGGCACGAGGGGGGGGGGCGGCTAGGGCGCGATAGGGGCTGGCGAGGCGCGGTAGGCTAGGGCGTGGGGCGGAAGCGGGTGGGGGGGGGACCTAACCTACTCATGATACTATGTTAGAATACTAGAATGAATAGAAACAAGAGAGAACAAGCAAGATATAGGGTTGGGTTGTACTCTCTAAGAATATACACCTATTAGAGCCTAAAACTTCTACATGCAAATGTATGTATAAGTTGACACCTGCTGCGCTGCCGATGCTTGAAGGGAGGACAAGAACCAGCAGAGGGGATGTCAACGGCACGGGGCAGAGGAGAGAAAGGCAACAATGAGCAGAAGAAAATGGAGTGGGCAGGAAGAAAGGACAAGGAGACGTCTCCAGGTCTTCCCAGCCTAGGAGTCACGCTGCTTCCAGATGTCATGTTGTCAGAGGGCACGCTTAAATCTGCGCGGACTCTCAAAGATTCTGGACGACGCGCTCGACGCTCGGCATTTATCCTGCTCTTTGTTTTGTGCACACGTGTAACAATTATGTTCACACCAGTCTTCCTAAGTTTATAGCTGTAATGATTGGATGAAAATAAAACTCTCACTTGTCAAGGACTTGGAAAATATGATAGTAGCAGCAATTTTGAACAGGCATGACGAAAGTTAGCCAGCCATGCATAATGCTTCGCAAGATGCTTCATATGATGCATCATACTTGTTCAATAAAGGTTCTTTGAGAGGATTGGATTTTATTTCTGTAATAGAATGCATACATCTGGGTATAATATAATATGTATAAATACCTACCCTGAAGCTACTATTTTACACTATATTCTACATTACGCGGCGTAACCTTGCATGTTGCCAGCCGAGCTACCACATCCTTGTGCAGGCCTTGATGCACACTGGCCAGTCCAGAGCCATCCATGCTCGAGCAGATGGTTGTGCTGCAATAAGCAGGAGGGGCACTACACACCCATGCCCATCCCTTGTGCACCATGCA